TATCATGTTCTTCGAAGCATCTGCTCAAAACAGCACAACATAAATATCGCCACTCATCTTCTTCGTATGAAAATATAAGTTTTTCTTTCAATTGCTTTGCTTTAAAAACAGTCATTAGGTTGTTGAAGAGTTAGCCTGCAAGTTCCAAAGGAAAAAAACCCGATGCTTTCAAAAACCAGTGAATCACAATGCAGAAAACTTCAACATCCTTAGAAATTGTAAGCAAAACAACAAAAAGCTAAATTTGCGGCGGGAAAAAGCTCACGAGCCCGCACTATTTTTATGCAGCGTCGATAAAAGTCCACCCTGTTATGGCGGCGATAAACACCTTTTTCTGACACGTTCACACCAGTAAATAAAACTTGTCATATAAAATTTGTTGCATATACACACGCGTACGTGCACTTGGTAAACTGTAAAACTTGTCACATAAAAAGTTGACATAGATAGAAACATATTCGTCGTGATTTAACGACATTGGTGACGGCAATTGCTAGATAGTATACTTCAAAATAAGGTTTCCGTTTTTATATCAATTTTAAAATAAGTTAGGATTAGGTTAAGGTTAGGTTAGGGTCAGGGTTGGGGTTAGGCTTACGGTTAGTGTTGGGGTTAGGGTTTAGTTTTGCGTTAGGATAGTTTTTTCTACGTTATAAAAACGGAAACCTTATTTTGAAGTCACTATCTAGCAATCACCCATCGGTGACCCCAATTCCCAAACTTTATTTTATAAAATATTTCTCTTAGTGACAATTTTAAAAAAATTCATTCATGTATGTATTATTGTGTACCCAGAAGAATTTGGGAGGGATTTGGGTCAGATTAATATGAATTAAACATATTTCATGATCATTTTGTATTTTCCTTTCGAGCGAGGGGTTTTGCATTCGATGTACTTCTATACAGGGTGTCCCGAAAAAATCCCTTCCCCCCTCACCACTATATTTAGTGAAAGTTTCAGACTTATATGCAAATAGATGAAATTACCATCCAACATAACCAACCGTTTGCCTTCTGGAATCACTTAAAGCGTCGATGACAATTTTTGGACTTGGCCAAGAATGTAAATTAGGTAAAATAATCGGAAATATTTTATAACATAACAAAACTCAATTTAATTACTTTTCGACAAGGTTCATCATTTTTATTGAAAGTTGAATCTTAAAAATTCAATACTGTTCACGAGCCTTAATTAACCATATTTTTATTCGCCGTGATTTGTATGACCCTTCATACATCTTTTCTTCCACAAGCCAACGATTTCAGGTGAATTTCACTTCTCTGCGTAAGCCACTGCCTCATTTTAACTAATTTTTATACCAAACCAAAGCTTAAATTTTAGGGACCACAAACCATCAGTTTAAGAGTAGACAATGCAGGAATTTGGCTGTTAACCTGAGTATCAGACTCATTTTACCACTAGAGCCTGAAATAACAAAATTATTATTAATAGTAATGAAAAACCCTAACGAAAGAGATCGAGAAGACTCTGAAAATGCCATTTCCGATTATCTAGAGACTCAAAATTTTCGAGAGTCGGACTCCCTAAGTTTATTAAGTTTCCAACCCGCTGAGTGACCGAGTTGTGGTATTTACATAAACATACCATGCAAACTGAAGATTCAGTCTACAGCATAATGTAACGCTGTATATACGGAACACACACGAGAATTGCAGTTTTAAGGGTAGAAAATACAAACATTTTCTGGGAAAAAATACCCTCAAACCACACCAACCAGTGGGCAACAACCATCTGTCATCTCTGAGTGGTTCCTTTTTATAGATGCCCCCCCTCCCCACGGACGAATTCTTAAAAGGCCCTGGGGACTTCTATCAAAGCTGACTTTGTAATACCACACAGCATTGTGAGAGGCATTATTTGGGACATAGCAGATATGTGGTTCTAAACCTCATGTGTAGTATTGTTTTGCCAACAGTACATGCAGTATTGCTTTTTTATTCCTGTAGGTCATCCTCTTGGGTGCAATTTGTACATTAGGATACTTTCTTGACCATGCCAGTTTTTCACTCAAACTGGAAGGGGGAACGATAAACTCGTTTGACCATTTCGAGAAAAAGCGCTTGGATTTTGGAATGTATGTTATCGTTATTGTTTGGTTACTGGTGACTGGATTTGTTGCTCTGTTTATTAGTGGTCTGCATCAGAAAGTTAAATGTCTCCACTGGCCTTTAACTGTAAGTATACTATAATTATATCGGCGCATTTATTTTGTATTGTTTAAAATATAAAGAAAAACATTAAAACACAAAGCTGTTCCAAGCGAACCGTTTTAAACTACAACTATAGTGCCAAGCTGATCTCATGACGGAAAAACAGGATCAGTGTGTCAGTTGAAAATAAAAAATTGGCAGTTATAAATTTCATGTTTCGCTCGCTACTCTGGTTTAAATAAATGATTACAAAGCCCAGTCGAATTGTAATCAAGACCCAACGTTTCGACACTCCAGTCTAGTGTCTTCATCAGGGGTGATCTAAAACTGCGATCGTGGCTTCTTAAATACCCAAGGGACGTCACCTGCCAAGAAGATGCATGTATTCCTCTGGCAAATAGGCATCGTCATCCCTATTCAAAGCATGATGACTCATATTTATATGCCACGCTTCTAGGCAAAGTCTTTGACCATAGCGATTGTTTGTGGTATATAAATATGAGTCATCATGCTTTGAATAGGGATGACGGTGCCTATTTGCCAGAGGAATATATGCATCTTCTTGGCAGGTGACGTCATCCCTTGGGTATTTAAGAAGCCACGATAGCAGTTTTAGATCACCCCTGATGAAGACACTAAACTGGAGTGTCGAAACGTTGAGTCTTGATTACAATTCGACTGGGCTTTGTAATCATTTATTTAAACCAGAGTAGCGAGCGAAACATGATTGATATACCTGGTTGCAGTGAACGAACAAACTTTATAGTTATAAATTTTCGGGTATTTGTTCTTCTTTTCAGGTTAATATATTTAGATTGAATTCGGACGATTTCTGCAAAGGTGAAAGTGGGAATGGACAATTTTGTATTCTAATCTTTTTTGAAACTAAAACAGTTGTTTAATTGTATAATCAGCTACATAATGCACACACACATCACAGCGGCAATACACTGACTGTATTGCCGATATGGAGAGACGTGAACAGCACTGTGGGACTGCCAAGCGAACTGGAAATGACCTGAAGACACGCTTACACCCTGACGATAAGCGACGAGAAAACTCTTGCGCAGAACATCAATGAAGCGTTTATTAATACAATGAAGGATTACTCGTCTTTGACTGATAGTGTACAAGTGCCAATAGACGATTTTTTCACAAAATGTATGTTTATCGAGCGGTTTACAGTAAATATACTACTAAAGGTTGTCTTTCTCGACCATGCCAGGTGTTCCACCAAAGTCTTCCCAACTACCTGTCCGACGAAATTGAACGCATTCAAAGGCGTGCTATGCGAATCGTCTACCCTGGTTTAAAATATGAAGAAGCGTTAGCCAAAGCTAATATCACCACATTACACTCTAGACGCGAACTCTTATCTCGTAAATTGTTTAAAGATAATGTTAATGACAAAAACCACAAGCTGGCCGAACTTTTACCACCCAAGTCAAGCCACAACAAGTCTTTAAGAAATACGAGACTCTTTAACACTCCAATTTGTAAAACAGATCGGTTTAAAAAATCATTTATTATCAGTAACAGCATGTACATGGTTGATAAATAAAATAATGACTATATAGTAACATTAGGGTTTTTACTATAGTTCATTAGGAAATAGTTAAAGATTATGTAGATAATTATACGTATTTTATTTAGATTCTAACTTGTAAATTTCGCTCACATGTAATTCAGTCATACAGACTGCAATGTGTGTTAGCTATTAAACGATTTTTCTTCTCCCTTCTTCTATGCTGCACTAAACGCCGCGAGAAAACGTCTGCGCATGCGCGTGCACTGTATGTAAGGAGGGAGAATGTAAAATCTTAGCAATTTTAAAAAATATATATTTACTTAGATCTATGTTGCTTTGTCTACAGTTTTATACAAAACAATGACATCGTGAAACGAGAGAGCTCAATAAGGATTTGTAAACAACAACTCATTCTGGGCGGCAATTACGGCTTTAAAAACTGAGACTAAGACCCCGTTTACACGGTATACCGGACGAATTTGGAACTGGGCTGAAATTCGTCTGTTTCCGCCGTGTAAACACACGAGAACCACGGAACCGGACGAATTTGAGACCCCTAACAGGCCCGAATTCGCGTGTAAACAGGCGAAAAAGGACGAATTTCAGACCGGTCTCAAATTCGTCCGGTACCGTGTAAACGGGGTCTAAGTAATATATAGTGGCACTTGCAGAACGCAAATCTCAGGCATGTTCATATGGAGGTGAGCTACCTTTCTAACCGATTTGCTCGGCAACGACAAGATCTAGGACTTAGATAGACAAGACCAACGACAAGATCTAGACCTCCATATGAATATGCCTAAGATTTGCGTTCTGCAAGTGCCGCTATATATTACTTAGTCTTAGTTTTTAAAGCTGTAATTGCCGCCCATAGAAATGTGCCGCCCTGAATGAACTTATACTACAATTATACTCAAAGTAGTATACGCTCTATGCCATGTAGGTTGCAATAACCATGGTGATAAAGGGAACCTTTCTATTCATCGCGGGCTGTTTTCTGGCGGACACCGCACGACAATATGATAAAAAAAATGATCGTGATACATTTTGTGGATATATGAAAAGCTATGAAACAAAAGCAAAGTGTGAACACTTGATTTGCGCGACGGTAAGAACACAGCAAATTACACTTTATTATTTCATTCTCAACGGTGGGTTAGTTATTAAATTCAAACGATTGTTTCACGAAAAATATTATTTTAAGCGATTGATATTGGGGAATTCCATAAATAGACGGCATGTGAAATGATCGGTTGTACAATTTCCCCTTGCATGTGTATAGCTAATTACTTTTTGCACACAAATGAAAACTTGTTACAAAGAGGAAAGAAGAGCTTTAAAACATTTCCAGAAAGGAAATAATTAATTAATGGTGCCCGACTATCTTTCAAGCGAATTCACACCAACTAATGTGATACGCAGCTACAATCTGCGTCACTTAAGAAAATATTTACTTATAGAGGAACCGTCCTGTGGAATAGCCTACCTGTCGAAACTGTAAATGCTACATCTGTACTTAATTTCAAAAATATAATTAATCAATCTTGTACTTTTCTTTAGTATTGTGATTCTTAGTAATTGTAATAATATTATTACTCCATTGAAGAGCACATTTTGTGAAATGGACTCCATGACAAAAGTTTTAATATTAAATAATAACAATTATTACTTTATTATACGTAATTAATTCCCAATTACATTTACAGAATTTTATAAGTAATTAATAATTATTACAATTACAAAATTAAACTCTTTTTCATTTTAGGTACTCTGTTTCATTGCATCAATAGTTTTTGGTTTAGATGTGTTCGTACACTTACGAATGAGTATGTCAGGCCGTTCATCCGAACGAAACTCTGCTGCTAGCACTGTGGCAATATAAACATTTACCAGATCAATGAATAATGTTCTTGGCCTTATATTGATTGGTGGGACATGATATTGCTTGGCAATTCTGACAATTATAGCAGCCTATAGGGATGACATTAATTTCCTTTCTTCATTGAGTTAACATCATGCAAAACAGTCAACTTGTTAAACAAAAGGTCTTTACAAGGGTAGCTTATGATTTGGCGGCCGTTTTAATATCAGGCCCGCAGGTTCGATTTCCGCCAGACGGCCATGATTTGCGTTTTTCGCACCTGTTCCTGGTTAGGCGCGTATCGTGTTTTAATTGGTCGCCTAGCTGCTGCCATGCATTATTTTCCACCCCCTCGGTTTTACCAATTTTGATGTCCACTGCTCGAAAATTGATGTCCACCTATCAAAACGTTCTGAAGCATTTCGATTGGTCGAAAATCACGTCAGCAGTAAACACCAACTCGGGCACGAAATGTACAAATGGCCGGCGAGACAGAAGAACCGGCTGCATTATTAAAAACAATGATCCAGCGTTGAAGTACTTGATCAAGCGTTGAATTTAGGGTTTATAGTAGAAAGTTGCTTAAGAAGAGGAAGGTTTCTCATCGGATCAGTTTAATGCAAGTTAGGGCTGTTTCAAACGTCGCGCTTGTCATGTGCCGAATGCATTAGAAACAAGAGATAATGAGTCATTTCAGCTGATTATCTATTGTTTTTAATGCGTTCGGCTCATGAGAAGCGCGATGTTTGAAAGAGGCCTTAGTCTTTATTTCATGCTAAACCGTTTGCAGATGTTTGTTTACCGATGTCTTGGTATTTACATATACGTTCAATTTTTCACAAGTTTAAACTTTTTTTTATGGGACGAAACCGTTGGACATCAATTTCAAAGCCATTGGACATCGATTTTCCAATGGATATCCATTGCGGTTCACCTCCAAATCATGGCATAATTGAAATTATTATTTATTGAAAATAATTCAAGAGTTTTGATTGGCTAAGAGCTGTCGGTGAAATTATCATATCCGCTCGGTAGCTGCCCAAATTTGGAGTTATATGACATCATCGCGATCGTGGAATATTGAAAACAAATATACCATGCACGTTTGACGTAATTTTGTGGTATATTGAAAAACAATGTAACAAGCCATGACGTCACGCGAATTTATGCGGCTTATGCCAAAAGCGGGATTATCTAGATTGAAGATAAATTTCAGTCAAAACATGCGTTAAAGCTTAATAATTTCCTAATACGTCTCAACAACGGCATTTGGTTTTAATTACGAAGTGACTTATTTTTAAATTTACAGAGTGTACGGACACGGACATATGACCACCAAGCTACCTGATAGTGACAAGACAGCTTTAAACGTTACTTTGCCATAATACTTTAAAAGGTTTGGTACTTTAAAAGGTTTGGTGCAAACAACCCAAGTAGCACTGCTGGATTGTTTGTTGAGGCATTGCTTGCACTAGCCTGGATTAAACTTGAAGTAGCAAAAGATGCACATGAAATACAATAATAAGTCGACCGACGTAACTTAAGTAATGCATGGGTACGGTATATATAGTTTTCATTGTCGTTTAATTACAATAAGATTTAATTAATTACAATAAGAATACATATAAAATTCTTAAATATAATTCCATATCTCTTTTCAGTCTCGAAATATCTACGCTGAATGCATGTTTAATATGTACATAGCACGACTTTTTATAACACATTGCATGACGAGTTTCCAAATGATCGGTAATATTTGGAGAGAAATACTTTGTTCGTCGCGTAACGTATGGCAAAATTCTCAACTCATTTCTTTTCCAGGCGATCTTTCTCGAATCTTTTCCAGACATAAAAAGATACTTTACTTCTATAAATACTCATGTATTGTGACGTACAAAGTTGAGTATCATCAAAACAAGTGAAACTCCAAACATCGAAAACATTTTTATTTATCTACGTTTCGACTATATTTCAGTCATCATCAGGATAAACTAGCTAGGTTATACATCAAAAGCAGTATTTATATATGAAGAAATATGATACATAGCCCGCGTGCAGGCCCAAGGGAAGAATAGTGGACCTGCAAACAAGACCCGGTATTTTGCAAAACGCCCCTTTTCATAACACGCCCCATTCGCGCGTCAATTGTCAAAAAAGAACCAATGACAGCAGCCCAAATATCAACAAACAAACTCGCATTAATCTGTTGCGGGGTGTTCTCTGCAAGAACAGAAACAATGTGTAAATGGCTGCATTTTAACTCCAAAACAGCAAGTAACGCAGTCAGTAATCACCAAATTTGCAAGTGCTCATTTTCAACTAAAATCGGAACAGGCAAATTAGGACGAATTTCAACAGAAAACCAGTCTCAAACTTCAAATCGTGAGGGAAGTCGTGCGAGCACATTAGCATTAATGTGTGCTTCGCTGTCGCCGTTGTTATAAATAAATTGTCTCACTTATCAGATCGTGTGTGCAATTCTTGTTGGCGGCGTAAAGTACGAAATTTCTTTCAGTTATTTCATTTGGTAAAGAATTCTACAAAAGAAGAGAGCGTTCAGAGTCCAGATCGTTTCATTTCAAACGGCAATTACCGTCTTCTGTTTCGCTCTCTCAGCGAAGCCTTGCAAATCGCAAAGTGTTTCGACATGCAACTGCCTCTAAATCTCCACCGCTGTTTTCTTCAGTGCAAGGACAGAGTCAACATCAACCAAAAGATAATTTTCTTGAGGAACATATAACGTATCAAGTCTGTTTGAAATTATTGAAACTCGATCAAGTATTAAAGGTTACTATAGTTTACCCTGGCGGCAGTCGTAATGTTGCTATTCCAGCACTTCACGACAAGCAATACCCATTGGCATAACCGCAAAAACATCTCTTCCTTCAAGTAAACAATAAACAGTCTGTTCTTGTTCTATTTTTTATCGAAAAAAGTGATCAATTTTCGAATTTTAAGCTTATCGAGAGCCTTTGTGATGAATCAGTGATCTAATTATAGAATCCAACAGCAAACAGCCAATCAGAATGCCGCGTTCGTAGGCGAACGCGGAAAGTACAAAATACCGGGCCTTGCTTGCAGGCCCACTATTCTTCCCTTTGGCCTGCGCGCGGGCTATATGATACAGTCATTAGGTTGATTATTAATGAATTAATTAAATATGATTAGTTCTTTAGAAGCTTTAAGTCCATGATAAAGAAAATTAATTTATTAATAATCAACCTAATGACTGTATCATATTTCTTTATATATACTGTAAATACTGCTTTTGATGTATAACCTAGCTAGTTTATCCTGATGATGACTGAAATATAATCGAAACGTAGATAAATAAAAATGTTATCGATTTTTGGGGTTTCACTTGTTTTGTATTTTGTTAAAATACTCGGTGGTTCTAAAAAAAATTTTACATATCATC